TCCTAATCCTCCACCATCTAGAACCAGTTCTGTGGTTCACAATTATGAATTTATTTTTCCTACTTTTATTCCCCCCCCGTTTATTGTATCCTATAATTTTCTCATAATTCACCATGACGCAAAATTTGTTTGCGCTATCTTATTGATAAGTATTAGGCCGAGGAAAAAATCTTCGCACCATGGTTAGCCAGCCTCCTATATATCATATTTATTCGAGTGTAAAATTCCAGATTGATTGGCGCCTTAGCCTGGTGGTGGGACCATGATTAAAGTTTCACCACCGCGGCCCGCCGAGAACCCTAACAAAAAGACGCGCGCTGGAAGCAAAGCATCGTAGAGCCTGTGTTGTCAACCCACACAGCTCCACAGAGACAAAAATAGCACGCCCTTTTGATCACTGTACAACAAACTCAGTTGTGGAATTGATGGTTATTTGGATTGATTGGGTGATCCCACATAACAATGGCAAAACCAAGGGATCGAGTACTGGACTTCACACACTCTACCCCGCAACGAGCGCTCAAGCTCCTCGAATTACCACCCGAATTGGCAGAGCTCATTTCCTCCGGGAATGGATCCACGTATGTATATACCGCATATCAAAAGAACATGAAGAAACGTAAATCAATCATATGCCGCTAACCGGACCTGCAATCCTTCAAAAACTCCATAGTCTCTACCTAAAGTCCGGACGAGCCTCCTCCTCCTCTGCCCCCTCAACATCCAGCGACGCCTACGTGAACCTCTGTACAGCCACCCAAACCTACATGGTCCGCCAAGTCCACTCCTCGAATTGCATATACCTCACCCAGCCCTGCCGCTCAACCACCCCCCACCAGCCGCAGCAGCCAAAGCCAGATGCACCTGCCTGCATCACAACCATCGCCAAATGCAACGCCACGCTCGAACTCGTGAAGATGGATAGTAGTAACGCGTACTCCGCGTTCCCATACCTGCAGCGCGCTCTGCGTGTGTATAGCGGCACGCATGCCGAGGAGGGTGGGGATGTTGATATGCTCGATGGCAGCGATGAAGATACGGGGTTATCTGCGGCTTCTACTAATACAACGGTGCGAAGGGAGCGGGAGCGGCGGAGGGTTATGAGGAAGGTATTTGCGGACGTGCCGTTGTCGCTGCCGGAGTGTGAACGGAGCTGGGTGGAGATGTGCGGGTTTTGTGCATTTCGAACGCGATTTTGGTGGTAGGGGTGTTACTTCTGCTGCTGGTTTTCGACTAGCTTGTTGGCGGCCATCGGCTGATGTAAGGGTCCAGGCTTGGAAAAGGATTCTGGATGCGGCTGTGTTGCAGGGGATTGATGTGGGGAAGCAGTTTTTGGCACAGGATTTGTGGCGGGGTTTTAGGGATGGGGATGAAGGGGATGGGAAAGGGAGTGGAGATGCCGGGTTTCCAAGGTCGTTATTCGATGCGTTGGTGAGGAGGTTAATGGGGGATCCTGCATCGGTGGGTCTGGGGAAGGTTTGTGAGGAGATTAAATGTAAGTTAGGATTACAAAGTGTATATCTCGTTTTGGCAATGGATGAATGCATGCTAACATATTTAATACTTTTAGGGGCAAGTTTTGATAGAGATACTACTGTGAGCTGGGTTGGGGAGAGTTATCTGGAGGCTAACGCGCCAGATCCAACGATGGCGATGGATCGTGCCCAATTCATGGAGAGCTGGAAGGATCTCTTGCCGGAGTCGTGGAGGTGCAGAGCTACGTGGGATAATTTGAAGGTATGTAAAGGTATTTCCTGTGTTTGTAGAATACTGCGCGTCTATGCATACAAAAACATTTATCCTGAACGTGCTGTATGTAGAAGGACATCTTTCCTTGAGTAACGGACTGACGAACAAATTGCGGCAAAAATAACACAGAACGACTGCCACCAATATCCCGACCCGGCGAGCGTTTGTTATAAGCCAAGGGCTGAACCCAAGGCTACTCGTTCAGGACTCAAAAAACATGGGTGAAACATGAAAGCCAGTGATAAACTTCGATTACCATACGAAAATGTACTGGAAATGGGCCGCATAAACAACCAAAAATCAACGATATCGACTCCAGATAATCTGAGTACTCCCCCTGTGGTCTATGGGCATTAAAGCCGGTAATTAAAGCCACCGCCCTTTAAAACATCAACCAACCTCTTGGCATACAGATAGAAAATTAAAACCCGGAGATGCATGAGAAGGAGCTCGGGGCTCAACTTCAGAAAACAAAAATCAAAGTTCAACACCAGGCGTACTTCTCGTTCCAATACCAGTCAACGTCCTCGCCTAGCCCAAGCTGCTTGCCATTCCATTTCAGGCTGCATATGCTGGTTTGTTCCCTATGCTCTACTTGCGCCGTCGGACTCAGCATTTTAACAGCTTTTTCGACGACGGGAGTCGGATTCCAAATATCAACACGGCTCCTGCCCCACTCATGTGCCTCCAACTGGGCGCAATAGAGAGTTGCAGCCAGTGCTTCAACTACCGCTTTCTCTTCGGCTGGCGACCTTGGTTCCTCGTACAACGTTCGCAGTATGAACAACACGTTGTCCTTCTCAGTGTTTCCAAAGTTCCGATTCCAACAAATGAAAACCTTACGGCTTTCAACGCAGGCGCCCTTCACTTTAGGCTCGCCCTTGCCGGGAAACAGAATCTTCGAGTAGAACTCCTCTCGAGCCCAATGCCAGCTCAAAGCTGCATAATCAGGCATAAATGCAACCTTGGCCCTTTTTGAATTGTGGGACGCCTCCCGTAATATTTGTTGGTATTTCTCAAGTGCTGCATTAGAGCACATGAACCGTCTGACGTCGTCGGCCTGCATTCCCCCCGCCATGCCTAAATCGGCTCCAGAAACACTCTGCTTTCCTTTATCTTTGGAGACGGGTGGGAGACTGATGTGCGACGAAGGGAAGGCTTTCCAGCCACGTTCCGTATAAAAAGATTTGCCGATATCCGAATAGAGGACAGAAAATACACCCCTCTTCCGCACCGAATCCTCCTGCTGCCATGTGTCCAGCCTCTTCGCGAGCTCAGTAATCATCCGCCCCGCGTAACCCCGACGTCGAAACTCTGGCTTTGAAAAGACGCTTCCAATGCCATGGGCCAGGATCAAGCTGGACTTTCCCGTCGTGGGCTAGCCAGGCGCGTTGCGTGG